GATCAGACAGTCAAGCTCTATTGAATGATATAATTTTCATATTTATTTGCAATACTTTTTCCTGACATCATATTTTTGGGTGTTTGACTTTGACAGAGTCAGAATTGGTTTAATTGACCTTTCTCATAAAGGTTCTCTCATTTAATTTATATCAGTTATTCTCATGATTTATTTTAAGAAATCATTTCAATATTTACATTCTAAACAAATTCTTTATTTACTCTTGATTTGGGTCTGTACTCAGGTTCCCAATGAAGACCACACAAATAGTCCACATACTGGATTTATCTCTATGAGACTTATCCAGATTTTGATATTGGATGTCAAAACACATTTCATATCGGCCCAAAGCCCAACAATAATTTATTTTAATCAAAACAAATTTGATTAATTGACTATTTATTCATTAATAATTCTTGGGTATGTTTTGGGGCGTTACACCCCCTCTAAGGCGTGGGCACAACTACTAACAAAGTCAACAATATTGACTATGACTCTAGACTCGGATTCTGATGAATACCACATCTGTAGACTATAGGTGTATTAGAAAGTGACTGCAATTCACAAATGACGCATCAGAAGTAGCTTCTGAATTGTGTATGACAAGATTGACATATGATCATTATTAAATTATAATTTTAGCCCTTGAATTAACACCAACATGACAGAAAATCAAAAAAAAGACTATTTATGGAAAGATACGCACAAAAGAAGAACTATCGGTTAATATTTAATAATAAAGGACTAAATAGGGAAAACCCCCTGTTATAAAGGATCAATTATGAAATTTACTAAAATAGAATTATGGAGTTATTCGAGTAAATTCTATTATTAGTCTTTTATAACAAGGGGGTTTCCATATCTAGTCCTCTGTTATCAAATATTACTCCAGTAGTCCTTCTGTGCTTTTCTACAAATGATGCTTTTTTATCTTCTGTCATGTTGGTGTTAATTTAAAAGCTTAAAGTATAGTTTGACATTAACCTTATTTCCAGGGGCATATTTATTAGACAGATAACATAAAAATAATAACTATGGTTGTGGGCTAAGATTCAAATAAAAGACCATGTTTGTAGACTATGGTATTAGTAGAAAGTGACTGTAATTCACAAACGACACATCAAGAACGACCTTTGGAATTGTGCATGACAAAAAAAGAGTAAATTATATAAAAGGTCCCCAGTTATAGGTCGTTTTACATATTTAGTCCCTACATATCAAATATTACTAATTTAGTCCCCAATTATTATATTTATTTTCACGAATGGTCCTTTGTTAACATTTCCGTTAAGAACGTGGATAAAATTGTATATTCATACTTCTCTCTCTCCTCAATTAAGCTTTCTTCATCTTCTCATACTCTTTCCCAAACTCGTCGCTGAGTTTGAAGCTCTTAAACCCAAAATTTAAATGATCATTCCTCTAGTTAGATAAACAATTGAGAGAAGAGTGATGATTTTGGTTTAGGGTTCAAAGCTAGAAACTCAGCGACGGGTTTGAGAAAGGAGTACAAGGGAGGAGAATGCTTAATTGAGGAGAGAAAGGAGTGTGAATTTATAATTTTATCCACGTTTTAATGAAAATATTAACAAAGGACCATTCGTAGAAATAAATATAATAATTGGGGACCAAATTAGTAATATTTGATATGTAGGGACTAAATATGTAAAACGACCTATAACTGGGGACCTTTTATGGAATTTACTCACAAAAAAATATACTCCCTCCGTCCCTAAATAGATTACAAATTGTGGGTTACGAAAAAAATTTCCTACTTTTTGAAATCTTATTATTTATAAATTGGTATATCAATAAGATATAAAAATTACATATTAAAAAACTACATCAAAAGTTCTACAAAACGAAAGGTGACAAGAATATTTTATTTTATCAAGTACTTAATGAAATCGCATAAACAAACAAAAGTTATCAAGAGAGAGAAAAATATCTGAAGGACTACTAAAAACTATTTTTATACCGTAACAGTAGCTGGTGTAATTTTCTCTGCAACACAAGTTGGGAGTGAGGGATGTGAAGTTCCGCTGTCCCAGCCGAGTACTACTAAAAACTAAAAAGAGGGACGAACAATAGATATGAGATGGCAGGAGGGCGGATACAATCGAACAGCGCAGCAGAGAAGGCAGATCGAACAACTGAGGCTTATATTCCGTTTCATCCATTCAAACAATGAGTCCTCCTCCTATCTTTAATTCATTTCCTTTTATTCTATGTTTGAGTAATTTCTATGAACTTAGTAAACAATTAGATGAAACATGTATTGATTCTTGAGATTTGGATTTGGTTTTAAACTATACGGAGTACTTTAATTTTTTCACTTGAGCATGTTTCATATTCTTAGATTTTATGGTCGATGATTGAATATATAGAGTGCACATTAGTTTTTCATGCATTAAACCTATTTCTTATAATTCTCTGAGCGGGGTCTCTTGGAAACAACCTCTTAAATCATAGTAGGTGATACCGAATTAACAGAGATTCTAAGAAAAAGAAGCTTTTCGAAGAATCTAGATGCAGACTTAGGGAAGAACTTCCGAGATGTCTAACCAGAGGAGAAGAAAAGGATTGGGGAAGAAGAATAAGAGAAAATGAGAGAAAAAAAGATTTGATTATCAATTCACATGCTCAATACAATGTATCTCCGTCTCTTTTATACTGATCAGATGACAAAGAAGCTAAACAGAAATAGAAACAGAATCAGTTACAGAGATTACTAATCTAACAGCATCTACCCAGATCAGCTCCATCTCATCTCCAGCTCACCTTAATCTTGTATCAATACCCCTTCCTTCAGAGCAGACTTGTCCTCAAGTCTGTACTACTGCCTTGTTCCTCTTTTGACCCGCCTTCGTTCTATATTAGGACTTCGAATGATTGGAAACCTGAGCTGCAATGTTGTGAGGTACTCCCATGTCGAGTGGCTACTACCCAAGTTAGACCGTTCCACATTAACCTATGTCACTGCTTTATTTCCCTTTTTGACCAACCTCTTTTCTGAGGTGCGTATGGGAATAGGTCAGCTTGAGCTAGCTGCATCACTCGAAAATGGTTGATAGTGGAAGGGACTTAATGACATTTCTTCATCTTGAGAAAATGAAGTGTAGCAGCCTGACCAGGAAGTAATAATTTGTAAGCAACTGCACTAACCCCAACAACAATATGATGGGTAACATAGTACTTGGCTGCCAGCTTTTGGATGGATGTCACTGCCACTAAGATCTGCCTATAGGATTGGAGTTTGAAATAGACCCAATCTCCCCCTTTAATTTGCATATTTGGTCTGTACTTATATGCCATGTCCTTCATTCTTTTATGTGCTCTATAGATATCATGCTTGAGTAATTGAATGATAACTTCTCTAGCTATAACTGATCTATCCATCATTTCAGATTTTGATTCTCTTGTAAAATAAGGAAGATGAATGGGAGCTTCTTGACCATACAAGACCTCATAAGTGCTATTGTACCTCCATTCTACTAAAGGCAAATCTTAGTGGTCAAAAGCTCCTCTGCAAGGTGGTAAGTCCTTGTTTGTGCAATTTAGCAATACCAGTGGAAATTGGACCTTCCCTTTCAGTTTTTTTGTGGAAATAAGATAACTCTGTATCTTCTTTGGTGGTAAGGGCCATCATAAAGAGTTTAGCCCTGTTACTACTATCTTTTTCCACAGTTTTCATCCTTGTAGTTTTCAGTTGACTACTATCCCCTCTCAAAATATGCTTCTTTCCATCAAAATTGAACTCAATTATTCTGTTTTTGGAATCAAACAGTATTCTTCCCAAAGTATTTAACCACTGAATGCCTAGGACAATGTCCCCACTTCCCAAAGGCAGTAGTAAGAAATCAGATACAAATGCAGTACCTTGCAATAACCATAGGACATTCTTACAAATAGATGATGTTTGTACCTGTCTTCCATCAGCCACATTGACTAATTGTCCCATAATCTTACTAGTACTGCACTCAATCTTTTTGCCAAATCCTGATTCATGAAGTTGTGAGAACTACCAGTATCTATTAGGATCTGTAGAGGCTGCTTCTCATGGTATCCAGTAACTCTGATTGTTTGGTAACCTGAGACCCTCTTTAATGCTTGCAAAGAAATGGTCATAAGCTCTTCCAGCTCTACTAGGCCTTCGGATTCACAGCTATTGCCTCTATTTTCCAATCCTGTTTCTTCCTCCCTGACATCAACTAAGAATACCTGTTTTTATTAGCACATTTGTGACCCATCACATACTTTTCATCACAGAAGAAACGGAGTCCTTTCGCTCTTTTTTCCAATGTTTGAAATGGCGTATTGCGGGTTTGAGGCATTTTTTCTTCATGGCGTATTGCGTAACCTCGAGGGGTATTGAGGCGTAAGCCTCATTATTTTAGTTGGATAATGTCCATAAAACATTTTTAATAGTGAAGATAGAACATTATTTATAACATAAATCATCCATAAACATTCAAAAAGTATATTGTCAAAGTAAAAGTATATTGAAAGAATCATATTTTTCCCCGTGGATTCGATCCATAATTAGTTCTTACCTATACTTCGATCCCTAATTAATGTTCTTCATGGCGTATTGCGTAACCTCGAGGGGTATTGAGGCGTAAGCCTCATTATTTTAGTTGGATAATGTCCATAAAACATTTTTAATAGTGAAGATAGAACATTATTTATAACATAAATCATCCATAAACATTCAAAAAGTATATTGTCAAAGTAAAAGTATATTGTAAGAATCATATTTTCCCTGTGGATTCGATCCCTAATTAATTCTTACCTGTACTATAAATTTATATATAACTAGATTAGTTGTTAAATTTGTAGCCGCCAAACAAGCTTTACAGCACGTGATGAGGGGGATGCTCAGTTAGGAGTTGTGGGGGCTAGAGGTAGGCAACTTTAGGAGGGTAGAGGTAGGCCGAAGAAGAGTTGTGGCGAATTAGGCGAATTAGTTAGACAAGATTAGCAGCTTCGGGAGCTCACAGAGGACATATGACCCTAGCTTCGAGTGTTTGGCAGTCTAGGATTACAATTCTAGGGTTAGCGTAAGTGTGGTTTCTCCTTGTGTGTGGGACCTCCTTTTCCGTTTTTGATTTCCATTGATCTATGAATTGTAACTTTTTTCTTTTTATTTTGTCCTTTTTTTTCCACCCCTAAAAATGTTGTTCACATAAGTAAAAGATGCTAGTGCGTATCTACTCAATTAACATTTGTCACCTTGTTGAAGATGGGTGAATTTGGTGGAATTAAATTCATGGCTCTTTTTAAACATAAAAACGTATTGTGGTTATTGATTATATTGAAGATACCTATTGAACTCTATTGTAAGAATCGTTTCTCTTGCCAATATGGGGATATGCATGTTTAGATTTGTAAAATTGAATCCAACGTATTAATGCTTTGTAGGTATTTTTCAATTATGTGGATTATAGTTTGAGCGGATGGAGAATCTCTCAGATGTAAACGAAGCTCTGCTAAAAAGGTCTTTAGATCCTTCACTTGAGTACCGTCAGAATGGTGTTTTCAAGCGAAGGAGATTTTGCCGGACCAGAAGCGCCCCTCTCGTAGATTACTTGCGTGCAGAAGTAAATGGCAGTGTTTCTAATCAATATTCTGAATCCTTAGATTATACTTTGCGTCCAAGTCTCAAAAAAGTAGCTGCATATTTGTCAATTTATCTTGGTGTTGGCACTATTTGCTTTTATGCAATCAGATATCAGATAAGTGGCAAAAAAACTAATCCTATAGTTGATGCTCTTTATTTCTGTATGGTCACTATGACCACAGTTGGGTACGGAGACCTTGTTCCCAAGAGTTCCCTTGCAAAGCTTCTTGCTTGTGCTTTTGTCTTCTCTGGGATGGCTTTGGGTGGATTGATTCTGAGCAACGGGGCAGATTACCTTGTGGAGAAGCAGGAGGCACTGGTTGTTAGAGCTCTGCACATGCGTAAAAAAATGGGTCCAAGCGACATTATAAAAGAAATCGACGCGCACAAAACTGGGTACAAGTTAGTTTTGGTCCTTGTATTTCTCGCGATACTCTTCATTTCTGGAACAATCTTTTTAAATCTGGTTGAGGGGCTGGATTTCATTGATGCATTTTACTGTGTTTGTGTGACTATTTCTACACTGGGTTATGGAGATCGCAGTTTCTCAACTGAGGGCGGCCGTATATTTGCAGTTTTGTGGATTCTTACAAGCACAATAAGTTTAGGTCTGTTCTTTCTTTACATTGCTGAACTCAACACTGAAAAGAGACGAAAAGCCTTAGTCAAGCGTGTCCTTAATCGGCCACTCACTAATGTGGATCTTGAGGCAGCTGACATTGACGAAGATGGAACAGTTGGGTAAGGGTAAAACTTGTCATTGTCTGTATGTCATCGATTCTTTGCTATGAACTCTAAAGCTCTAGTTTTTTTCTTTTTTGTCATAAATTTGAGGCCACTCTTCTAACTTACGTGCTACGGATTCTGCAGTGCTGCAGAGTTTGTTTTGTATAAGCTGAAAGAGATGGGGAAAATTACTCAAGAAGATATATCACTTGTTTTGGAAGAATTTCAGGTGTTGGATATTGATCAATCCGGGACCTTGTCTTTGTCCGACATAACCTTGGCTCAGTCTTCTGCCACACAAGTCGCTCTACAAACTTCTGACAAGAAGGCACCCCCTTAACGCGTAAGTAAAGAAAAATGTTAATATTCCCTACACACTAAAACAACAACAAACCTAGTAAAATCCCACAAACGTAGGGCCCGGGGAGGGTGTGTGCACTTACCTTACTCATATTCAAAAGTGGAGAGTCTGTTTCCAAAAGACCCCCAGCTCATGCACAGCCTTACATGCTAAAGAACACTTCCAAACTACTCCTTAAGAAGTGTGGGTATATTATCAAGTCTTGCACATTTGTATTGTTGGTACCCCTCTTCGACCTTGTTTGGTATCACTGATTCTTTAATTGTCCCTTGTTAAATTGCAGAGTTGCAAGTATTTCTGAGTTCAGTCGGAGTAAATAAGGATTGCAGGTATTCTTGTTTTTTGAACTCAGTGGTCTGCAACATGCATAACTAGGGTTTTATTTCAGCCGAGAAGAGATCTACATCCCCCCCCCATCAATGAACTACTCCCTAAATCAGTATGGGTTTGGCTTGTACCAGAGTTTTTTTTTTTTTTGTAAAATTATAATGTGTATAGTGGGAGAACTAATTATATAATTATAGTTGGCTCCATTATTCATCTGAAAATAGTACTCCCTCCGTCCCGCTATATTCGTCCACTTTTGACTTTTGGAACTGTTCATCTAAGCACTTTGACTCATCAAATTCTCTCGATGTGTAAGCCTAAATATAGTCATGCGTGATCTAGTTTGATTTGTCTTAACATATAGATTATTAATATATAATTTCTATAATTTTTTAATATACAAATTACAAGATAAAATGGACCAAAGAAGTGTATTGAATGGTGTGTAAAAATGAAAGTGGACAATGTTGGGACTGTGCGTGCCCTCACCCCAACTCCGCATTAGTATGATATTGTCCGCTCTGGGCCAAGCCTTCACGGATTTGTTTTTGGCACCTCCCAAAAGGCCTCATACTAATGGGGTTGGGTGACCCTATATATTTTGGTCCATTTTTACTTCTCCCTCCGGTGTGGGACTTGGAGGAATCCCAACAAGCCTCCCCTCATCCAAGGACCACACAACTTCCGACCTCCCCTCCAGCGGTAATCCCTTTTTTTTCTCTTTATCTGCTAACCATCTTGCACCGCCGCACACTCTTTGCGGGACACGCCGCCCGACCTCCTATCGGGAAGACTTTCGATGCAAGGCTCGAACCACAGATCTTTCCTTCGATGGGCTACACCATTTGATCCGCCAAATCATCTTGTACTGCCGTGGCTATAACTTCACGGGTGCGCCGCCCGACCTCCTCTCGTTGGGAAGACTTTCGACACAAGGCACCACCTGCAGATCCTCTTTCTTGGTCTTGGTCCTAGTTACACCGTCACACCGAGATTTTTCCACACTGCACAGTCCGCTACTCCCGCCCGCAAGAACCTGGGCTTTGATACCACATGTTGGGACTGTGCGTGCCCTCACCCCAACTCCGCATTAGTATGATATCGTCCGCTCTGGGCCAAGTCCTCACGGATTTGTTTTTGGGCACCTCCCAAAATGCCTCATACTAAATTACTAATGGGGTTAGGTGAACTTATATATTTTGGTCCATTTTTACTTCTCCCTTTGATGTGGGACTTGGAGGAATCCCAACAGACAAATACTCTGGCACGAAGGGAGTATCGAGTATAAAAATGTGGTCAAATGTTGGGTGAAACTTGGGTCCCTGTAGGTTGAAGAGAACGGTGGGTTGAAGACGGTAAGTATGGGGTGAGTGTGGGGAACGACTGGGAAGCCATACCCAAATTAAACAATTGAAACTGAAAAAGATTAGCAAATTCTTGGGTGCACTCGAGATGCATGATGCATTTGGTGTACCTGCAAATTAGTGAAATACTCCATCTCTCCAATATTAAATTGTCTGTTTTCCTTTTTTCTCTATCCCAAAATAAGTTGTCAGTTTCTTGTTATCGTAAACTTTTAAGAGTAAAATACCTAAACTACTCCTAAAATAAGTCACTCTTCTCCACTTTATCTTCTCATTCATCATCACCCCTCCTAAAAACTAATAGCAATTTCGGAAAATCAACTCTATTTTTTCTCTTCCTTAAATATGCCCCAAAATCAAAACGGACGATTTAAAATGGAACGGAGAGAGTAAGTAAATATTTAGTGGTGAGATGATAATTTTTTATTTTCTTTTAAAAAAAAATAATACTAACAATTTTTTTCCTGAGAAGGTACACAAATATTGTGTAGACCTTAAGACCACCATAGAAGCACTCAACTTTTTTTCCTTTCAAAAATGTAGACCCAAAGTGGAATCCATTTATACTCCATATCATTCTCTATTGTAGATAAAAAAAAAAGATGAGAATAAATTTTATAATTGGTTCTTTATAATAAGAGATTTTCTATATTTAGTCATCTATTATCAAATACTCCGTATTATGCAGTGATACTTTTATGAGTACCTTTTCATAAATAGTCTTTTTTACCTTCTATCATGTTGATATTAATTTTAGGGCTAAAAATGTAATTTGACATCAATCCTATGTGACGTATTCTGATGTCAATTAGATGCATAACGTGACAATAATGACTGACTATGAACTACGATTCTAACGAAAGACTATATTCGTAAATTATGGTTGTAGTAAAAAGCGACTCTGGTTCACGGACAACACATCAATAGCAGCCTTTGGATTGCGTATGACAAGTAAGATATATGATCATTTTGAAATTATACTTTTAGCTCCCAGATTAACATTAACATGATAGAAGATCAAGAAAAGATTATTTCTGGAAAGATACATATAAAAGGACCACATTTATAATATTTGATAATAGAGGACCAAAAAGAGAAATCCTGCCATTATACATGACCAATTATAGAATTTACTCAAAAAATGAAGTTCAACTTTAGGCCAAATAGCGCCGGTACCCCTCGTGGTTTGCAAAACAAACACCAATACCCCCTCTGTTTTCAAAACTTATTTTAAAGTCCGTGTGGTTTCAAAATGCAGCACCCGGGCCCTTCTGATCATTTTTCGGTCATTTTTCCAGTGAAGAAGGGGAGCATTGGTGTATATTTTTTAAACCATAAGGGGTATCAGTGCTGATTTTTATTTCTCGCTTATTTTTTGTTATTTCCATTTTTCCTTTTTTTTTCATTTATTAATAAACGTTTTTTAAAATTATTTTTATAATGTTCTTAAAATTTAAAGTTATTTTTGTTTGAAAAAATTAACATATAATGCATATGTACGTCTCAAATTAACATTTTTTGTTTTTTCTGAAAAAAAGTAATTTTTTTGAGAACTTCAAAAACATGAGGAATAAAATTAGAAACAAGATGATACACAAATAAAAATGAATATTCTATTTGGACATCTCAATTCTAAGGACTTTTTTAGGTATGTTTAATTTTTTTTGTATAAGACTTTCTTTGCGTATTTTATTTTTTTTTTCATTTCTTTTTTCCATATTTTTATTTTTTTATTTTGGATTTTTTTTGAACTTTCCAAAAAATTATTCTAAGTAACAAAAGGTAAAAATGCTTAATTTGAGATAGATATAATGTATGTTAATTTTTTTATTTTTATTTCAAGCACAAAGAATTTTAAAATTTTTAAAACATTATAAAATATTGAAAATATATTTTTAAAGAAATTCTAGGAAAAGGAAAATGAGATAGAAAAACTTTAAAAAAAGGGAAAAATAGTAAACGAAAATAAGAAATGAGCATGAATGCCCACTATGGTTTAGAAATTATGCGACAATGCCCCCTTTTCGCCGGAAATGACCGAAAAATGATCAGAGGGGATGTGGGTGCAACATTTTGAAACCACAATGACTTTAGAAATACGTTTTGAAAACAGATGAAGTATTGATGTCAATTTTCCAAACTACAGGGGCACCGGAGCTTTATGGCCTTCAACTTCAAGTGCCTAGGGGGGAAGGGATGCCTCCACCAACGACTTAAAGCTAAGTATTCACTTTAATTGCTCAATAGACTTTTGCCAGCACAAAACTACTCAAAGTATTCAAATTACTCATATTTGGAAGGGGCGCCTACTCAAACTACTCAAGTACTCCCCCTTTTTAATTAAAAACAAAATACGTTTAGTTAATAAGAATGAAAATACATTTAATTAATAAAAAATACAATTCGTTAATAAAAAAATACATAGTACATTTCATTATTAAAAACATTTCATTAATTGCAGAAATAAAATACATTTTAATAATAAAAAATAAGTACATTTCATTTACTAAAAATTAAATATAGTTCATTAATTTTAAAAATTAAATACATTTCATTAATTTAAAAAAATAAAATACATTTCATTAATTAAAAAATCCATTTAACTAATTAAAAACAAAATACATTTTATTAACTTAAAAATTAAATGGCTTTAATTACTTCAAAAAATATAATATTTCATTTAAAAAAATAATACTCCAGAAATAATACTACCTACGTCCCATTTTATAACGCCTGTTTCGGTTTACGATGTTTGACTGAAATTATTTTCAAACAATTTTATATGACAAATGGTATAGAATTAAAAATAAAAATTACATATTAAAAAACTACATCAAAAGATCTACAAAACTAGTAGTGACAATAATATTTTATTTTATCAAATTGCTAACGGAAATAGAAAAAGAAAGTGAATGAAGTTTGAACCTGTGATTAGTAAACAGACATTATAAATTGGGACGGAGGGAGTAACAAACTGTAGGATTTTAAATAAAAACCCTAAAACTAGTGGCCACCCATAAAACGCACCAAAATAAAGGCAGCACGCATTACACCTAAAAAATCCGCATCAAGCAAAGCAAACAATTTAGTGGATTATATGGTACACCCAGATATACCATACATCATAACAAACTTGTAATTGAAAAATATTTTAGAATAAACAATACGTTATTTTAGAATGAACACTATGTTGTTCCAGAATGAACACACTATGCTGAACATGCATGAAATGAGTACTACGTTGATTTAAAATGAATATTTACTTGATGTATCTCGTTATATACAAGAACTCAAAATTCCTAGTCGGATTCCCTACTCGAACTGCCTGTGGCGGGATACTCCTTCTATTCGGGCCTACTCGAAAGTACTCAAAAATATTCGGGCAAGGCGCCCTCTCCTCCCTTAGGGTGCTTGTAATGGTGGCTTTTGAATCCAATTTTAAAATTATAAAGGTAGCTGCCTAGCTTCAACCATTACTAAGAGGGTGTTTGGCAGTGTGCTGCTTTTAATAATTTAGTTTCTGCTTTGAGTAGAAGTGATTTTACTCTGTTTGGCATGTCAGCTTCTGTTTTTCACCGCCAATATTTTGTACATAGAACACCGTTTCGAAGAAGCAGGTATAAGGTGCTTTTGCTTTCAGCTTTTATGGAAATCACTTTATTCATAAGTTAATCACTCACAAACACCCTCTAAATGCTGAGTTGACACTTTTTTTTATAAAGCGAGTTCTCCGAAATCAAAGTTGGGGTTTTGGAGAAGCTTGTAGCCCACTGGGTTATCACTTTTGCAATTCTATTTCTTTTTATTTTTTTGTGATTAAATCTAAATGCATATTTTGTTTAATTTATTCAAACAAATCTTTTTTATTAATTTGATTAAATATGATAATTTATTTTAATTGTTTTTATTATATGTA